GAAGATCAGTAGCGCACTGAGAAGCCACGCAATCCGAACCAGCCCAAGTCGCGGCGCCACGGGAGGAACCATGCATATGAGGTTGGCAGAAATCAAGCTGTCTGCCAGGCGCAAAGGTCAAAAAGTCTATGCGAGGTAATGGTTCCTACAAGATCTGAAGCCTCAGCGGATGCCTGCAAACAACCTTGCTCTTGGAGCCGAATGGCTTGGCATCAGCACGTGCATTCATTGCACAAGACGCAGACACCACGGACGCATGCCAGAACAAGAAAATGAACAACAGCGCGACTTGCTATACTACAATGCTGCTAGTGGTGCTTCGTTGTTCCCTGGTAATCAGTTTCTACAGTGGTTGACTGGCACCGACTGGAACCACCACTAGTTCTCTGGTGTTCTGCAGCGTGTCCTGCCTGCATCTCGTTGTCTAAGATCGAGCGGAGAGGACTCCCGGGTTTCTGAGTCTCCTCCACGCAAGCAGCAATAGCTGCATGAATCATAGGAAGGACCAATGATGGTACCATGTCGGGAGAACGAGGACTAGGACTAGGAATATAAGATGAGGAGTAGATCTGGAAGAGCATTGACAATTATAACAACATGTGCAGAGTTGGGCGTAGAAATGAACAGGCAGCAATTGTAGTAGCGACAACAGGAAGAACACATGACGGCCATGAGCAATGGGTCAAAACACCAAATCCTTCGCCCTAAACTGCTGAATACTTCCAGACAAATTTTGCCACCCGCTCGCGGTGCAAGCCCATTGACATAACACCTCCCAGGTCCAGAGGAGCACTACCACTACTTGCAGCATCAAAAGCGGTAATAGCAGAGGTGGAAGAAAGCAATTTCAATCACGAAGTCCTGTACTTAGAAGTGCGCTTGGCTGTCGCAGGCCGGCTATACACTAGCACGGAAGGACTTCAACTTTGGAGCACTTCTATAATGAGTACTATCCTGGCAGCTGTTGGATCTTGCTATGTAGTGAATGAGTTCCCTGGCCTAGACAAGATTAGCCAACCGTTTACCCTCGTCAGTAATAAGATTGCGAAAATAAAATCAAGCTCAACCCTGTTCGTTCGATACCCAAATTGAGTTTAAGCTTGCTTACTCACCTAGGTACTACTACTGCTAACTTGGGGAGAAAAATCTCCTCCACTCTGGTCCACCGAGTTTTGCCTTGGCACTGCCCAGCCAACTGTCTGAAAGCTGATGGCAGGAAGCTTGCGCCTCTAAACAAAGAGTCATACATATTTCGGCAAGCCCCCCTCCCAATGCAGGGACTCTCTAACAGCCATATGAACGATATTCAACAGCTGTAGGGTGATTGCTTTTGGGGGGTTACCAAGTCGTCCGCTTTAACTGTCGGTGCCGAGTCACACGTCTCTAGCACTACCGCACTGAGCTCGCGTTGCTCAGCCAGCTTCCTGCCGTGTCAATAACTTGTGACTTAGATGTCAGTTGCTCAAAATATTTGCTTCCCCTCAGGGCGAGTTCCAATGTTTGAGCCATTGTTAGAGGCTATATATGGGGCCCCAGAGTTGACAGATTACGACTGACTCGCCCATGCACGCTGGAACTACTTGGACTTGGTTGCTACACATTGCTTCTTTTAGTGCCCACGCTGTGCCGGGAGTTGCATCCTTGGCTCATGCTTGCAACACTTGAGGCAAACATTGGCAAACGTCTGATTGCTCTGGGCTGGGAGGGAGGGTGGTAGCTACCACATAGTGTATAGCGGGTCATTCACCTGGGGATCTTATCGATATCGCAGGCACGCGCTCTCTCTCTCTCTCTCTCTGTCTCTCTGAATTCTGAACACCCCTGGAGGTACACTTTAAAAAGGACGATAGCATACCGCTTAATACAAGGATATTTTGACGGGGGGGCGGGGCAAACTCAAAAACGACAGCACCCCACGTTTCAGAAACCCGTGCATCATTCCATGACAGACACTGCATATTCGTACATCTATGTGACCATGTGTATTAATATGCATACATACCTCCCTGTCTGAACCCCGAACATCAACAAGGGGCCAACAATTTTGAGAAGCTTTTGCAGGTCGTATGTTGCCGATGAATCTTCTGCAGGGCACTACGGAATTCTGGTATAACCCCGACAATTCACCAGTGCATGAAGCTTATCATCCCTATAACCTCTACATGTGTCCACACACAAAGCTTAGAAACTCCTTGCTAGTGATAGTAGCAAACATGCCTCAGCTTTGAAAGTAACTAGCAGCAGAAGCAACACTAAGAGCCAAATCGGATTACGTACTGAGAATGTCAAGTATTGATCAGGGGACCCCTGCTCCGTGGGTCTGCCTCGTGACCGTGGTCGCCTTTTCAACCGAGCGCCTGAGAGGTCCATCTTCGGGCTGGTAGCGACGTTATGGTGGCAGTCGTGGCGGTGGAGGTGGTGGTGATTGAGGAAGCCCGATGGGACTGCAAACCCGGATTGGGATCAGCGTTTGGGAGCCTTTAGGGAATCTTTGATTAGCACCCCTTCGTATTGTTGGGCCTGGAAGGATTCCGTAGTGTGAGAAGGATGACAATGACGACAAACCAGGGCATGCCAACAACACTCCCGTAAGCACTATGTCGCAGCATTGATGGCAAGAAAAAGAAGTGCCACAGCGAACAAAGAGCAAGTGATTGTCATAACACAGGATGGCTAGTGACAGGCAGATAGCTCAAATAATGGTAATCTGCACAAACAAGGCAATTCTAGATGTTGTCATAACAGCACCTCTCACGTACATGCAAGCGGCTACAAGTTGTATCCACGAAGGCATAACAAGGATGATGACGATAATTTGCATGAAGATAGCCATGATGACACCCACATGCTTCTCTTCCAATGCTCCAGGTACCCCACGGGTTGAAGTGGACAGAGGCGATGAGAACTACCTCCTTGCCGCTCGAAGGCTCGACAAAGGGTAAGACCTCCAAGAGAGAAAGGAGCATGTCGGGATCATACAATGTTTTATGCATGGAAGATGTCTGGGGCTTATATCGGGTTAAACATGAGTTCTCACGATTGTATGCAGGCTTCCGGTCACTCGAAGCCGCGTGTGAATAGCTTTCCAAGCACATTTGCACGTTTACAGAAGAGAACTCGCCGCTTCGAGAAGCTGCGCCACCCAAACCCACTGTCGTCCGTACACGATACGAAATCCCGTACCAACAGCATCTTGATTTGTGTAGCACCATACATGCTTGGCCAACCCGCAAAAGGACCCAGCACCAAAAAGAAAAAGTGGCATGCTAAGTATCCACATAACCCTCACGGAATCTGCCCTTCTCGCCTGCTGCTCTCGGGCCGTCGCTCGGCGAGCGCAGCTCCGCGCTGCAGCCGCTGTGGCCAGCGCCAGCGGCACAGCAAGTGGTGCAGCTGGCAGAAAGTCTACAGGAGGGTTTCTCAGAATAGCGAGGCCCTTTTAAGCGTTGTAAAGGTTTGTAGAATCTATAGCGACACTTGCGGGTTTAGGTGTTAGGGCTTGGTTTCTCGAAATGGGGGCTCTCTGGGACCTGAGGATATATAGGGATTACAACAGATTGTGGAGTTCCCGACCGCGGATTCGATCAGGGTAGTTTTGAGATCGAAGTCCCACAAACCACACAGCACTTCAGGTTTTACACGGCTTGAGTTGTCTGGTTTTTGGATAGCCCCGAAACACCTTGTCCATGCATGCTCAAAAAATCCAATTTGAGTAGAGAGGGCCCTGCCTGCCCTGCGGGGCCTGCTTGCGCCCAGCACGGGAAAATGGCCAGCCGGCCGGGCGCTGGGGATACTAGCAGACCTTCAGGGTTGAGGATTTCGGGAATAGGTTATGGGGGAAATCTTGCATACAGGGTTTGCGGAAGATTGTGAGTCTTGTAGGCGCAGGATTGCAGGTTCGGGACTTTTTGGGATTCAGCCTAAGGAGCGAGCACGCAATGACTGGCCTTGGTCCCCTACGTAAGCTCATTTTCGTTAACCCCACGGCACATGCCCGTTCAACTGGAAGTAATGAAGCCCCAGAACCTAGGCCAGCCCATGTTTCACAGAGTTGCACTGTTAGCGGCCTGCTGCTGACCGCGACATGCGGGGCAAACGGCAGGGACACGGCCATGTTGGATAAAGTCTAAGAACCCAAAGGTTCCTCTAGGGTTTTTTTATCCTGCAGGTATACACGCATGCTTTAGGTAGGGCTGGGGTGTCTGTGATAAGGTCTTGGCTTGCTCTGCATCAAGGTGCCGTCATAAGCTGCGAGCGTGCGAGCGGTCGGTAGCAAATAAAAGCAGAAGGTACGCTTTGCCAGTCCCAATCTGAGGCCCTCAACGGGCATTAACGACAAATATATTTACAGAAATTACTGACTTAGGCTGAGGGCTATGGAGTCCCCTCTGCGACCCATAATCCTGAAAAATGCCGGGACACAGGCATGTCCAAACAGACAGGATCACCGTAGTCGACGATAAAATACACAATTTCAAGGTGTAGGAACTTGGGGTGCCAGACCGAGAAAATCCGTTTCAAGTAAGACACGTCAGGACCAGCAACTGCTTCTCTGCTGCTTACGGAATCCGGATTTGAACAAACCCCCGCCTCTAGATCCCTTTGCACTGCCATGGAATGGGTACTTCTCCAGACTAATTAGAGTTGCCCACTACATTTTGGCCATCCAAGTCCAAGACCGCTCGAACCCATGTAATCACCAGACATCTTTAAACTACCCCATACACACCCGGAAAGAGGACACTGTATTGTGAGAAACTCCCCGGAGAGCGAACTCCAACGTACGTAGTTCCTATGCCATCACTATGGAGCTCCGAGCCCCTGTGCATCCTTTTAGTGGCTCGTGGCAACTTTCACAGCTATCCCTCGAGAATCGGAAAGGGACCTCCATAATCCACATCTCATTCCCACATATCCCCCGAAGTAATTACTGAGAACCACCACCGTACCATGCGTGTCCCCAAACTCCGAACCCTCTGTCTCCGGGCACCATTTTGTCCTTACATATTCCACCGCATTTTGCGCTCCGGTGCTTTGCGCTCCGCAGCCTGTCGGCGGTTGGTTTGCAACAACAGGCTGCAGGGTTGGGTTTAGGGTTTAGGGTGCTCAGGAGCGAAAAAAGGAATGGAAGGATCAGGTCAAGAGGGATTTCGATTGGGTACAGGAGTAAAGCGCTACTGCTGGCAGTAGCACATTCTTGAGGGCAATGGGATGGATCCCAGAGGCTTTCAAATCCTAAAATGCCGAAACTCTAAATCCTAAGCCCGAAGCCCCAAAAGTCTATAAATTCTACAGATGTTGGATACTGCCCCACCCTGTCGCAGTCTGCAGAAAATGTAATCTTTGTCCCTGAACACTGGCCTTATACAAGCATGTGATCCTAAAAGACGACTGTCTATATGGGGTTCGATTTTAGCTCAGCGGAAAACACCTTTCAAGAGAGGGGTGTGCAAGAATCTGTAAACCCTCATGATCCTCGCGATCCATAGGGTGCCCCTGTTCAGGGCCAAACCCTGAACCCCGTGCACCGAACTAAAGACCGGGAATCTAAACACTATACACCCTAAGACCTACTTCCTGAAACGAAATGCCCAAGACCCTATTCCGGAGAGCCGGTACTCTAAGCCCCTAATCTCAGACCTAAAATCCTAAGCCCTGCTCAGTATGTATGTTCAGATCGACACCCAGCACGTTCCATGTCCTCGCGCATTCCCTTCAACCCCTCTAGCCTAGAGCCTAGATCCAAAAATTGCGAAACCCTCACCTTCCACAAACTAACGCAAGGCCTGCCGCGCCAAGAATACTATCCTCAACATAAGGGCGCTAGGTGGGCTCCAGGTTTTTTATTTATGGCATCTGAATGTTACTCTGTCCCCTTAGACAACTCTATGCATCCCCGTGTGGCTTTATAATCCATGTGCCCTATACTAAACCATCTACCCTGAAAACCAAAAAAAACATAAAACTCTGAACCCTGCAAGACCCTTCAATCTCTAAACTCCGAATTCCAAAAACCCTCCAGAGGGCTTCAAAGTTTGCGGCCAGGTGGCCGGCGATACAGACCGGCCCTCTGGCGGCCTTGGACGACCTTTTCCTCGGCCTGCAGAGCGTGCAGCTTTCAAGGTTCTACTGGGTCCAAGGCTTTAGGTTTTGAAGGATCTGAAGTGCTCCAAAAATTTTGGGCGTTTTAGGGGCCGGGTTCTCTTTTGCAAGTGTCTGTGAAAGGATTCAAAGGGTCAACGAGTGCTTCTCAACATGATTCGTGAGCACACGGTAGAGTTTGGATGACGCGTGTTCATCAAACAAATTGCAGACCCTATCCCTGTCATGATACTGTTGGGCCGTGTTAAGCTATACAGGTTTTTGAGTGGCTGCAGAAGTGTATCATGGGCTTTTCTCATGAGCTTCTCTTTGAAATGGACTTCCTATCTGGAATTCTAGACTGGTCAACGGGGTTTGGAAGACCTTCACACGGCTTTGTAGGATTGCACAATTCCACAGGTCTTCGAAGGGATGACATAGCTTGTGGTCTGGAACATGTACTGTATGTAACATGAAACACATGACCTTCGATACATCAGGTATTATAGTCTTGACAACGACTCTTGCTTCTATTCTCATGATGGCTACACTCAGCACGTTCTGCGTGAAGGGATGTTCCATAGTGTTAGTCCATAACCTGAGAAACTAGTCCCTTGAAACCTGCTATTGATGGCCTGCTTGCTTGACTCTTTACAATAGACTTCTGAGTTGGACGGATGCGATAGCAATTGCTTGAACTAGCAGATGGAAGCAAGAAGAAGACGAAGAAGATGCCTTACTAGTATTGTCAATAGTCAACATAAGAATATCACTGGCGAGGATAAGACCTTACCTTCTAAAGTCTGTTCTACTCAGACTAACAGCCTTTAATGCGGGTCACAACCAAAGCGCGGGGCCTTTTGCCGAGATGACTGGAGGTGGCCAGATGCACTCCCCTGCAAATGCAAAAGACAACGTCTGCGTTGAGGGGGGAACTTCAGAATCAAGAAGTACAATTGACCATCAATGCCAATTTTTCTAGGGCTAGAGAACTTAGAACTCTTCCCCTTTGATGGTCGCTTCCATCGCTTGCTGTCTGACCCGCCAACATGGTACCACATGTGCGCAACTCTGTAATTCCCTTGGAAACCCTTACGCAGCCTAGACCCTGAAAACTGAACAACGATCCGGGTTGATGGCGCAGTTCGCCCTGCTTCCGAAGGCGGGCAACGAGGTCCTGTCATGTGTGCTTGACATTCAAAGCAGCGGTCAATCATGGCATTATACTAAACTGCTGGTTTGGGGCAATATCCCTGAATTCCCTGGCCAAAGAAATGCCCAAATTACAGATTACCTTCACAGTGCTAAAATGGTCTCCAAAACCCGACTGCTGCTAGATGATCCGTACTGCCAGTTGTGAGTAGTGTTACGCGTTGATGGCGATGATGACTCCTGCTATTCTGCTGTGATTATTTTTGTTCCCATTTCAACTATTTGTTTCTTCATAGGGCTGCACTTATACACCTTCTACAATAACATACAATAACAAAAAACTTCTACCGTCCAGCCGAACTGCTATCGTCACTAATGCAATTGTGTACACTGCGTCTCCTCGTACAAAAGAAGGCACATGGCTTGGGAGACAGGTGCAACTAGGTCGGAACTACAGTCGCAGCTGTAGTCCCTTAATCACGCCTTCTAACATGTTACTGTTACAAATGTTAACGTATCATACTGCGGCTTCGCTCTTTCCTAGGCTTTTGTCATAGTCCCTTCCTCCCTAGCATCAATTAAACTGTTAAAGCCTCACTGCCTTCTTTTGGCGAGGTCATCGCTTCTAAGCCCTGAAACCCTGCACCCTCAACACCCAGCGGAGAATCCCATGTGCGAGTCTCCTCCATGGTCTCGTCAAAGCCTGACCAAGGAGCAGAAAGGATGTAAAAAAACGCCCTCAGTTCCCTTTTTGTTGTAGCTATGTGGGGTTTTTCAGCTGGCGGTCCTTGTTGACGGTCCTGATAACAAGGATGACAATAACAATTGTTTGGGTCAGGGGACCCAAGCTTTTGGAAACCACCATGTCGGGATGACTAGGACTTGGGGTTTAGGGTGAAGGGTTGCGGGGATTCACAAATTGGTGGACATTTCCAAGCTCTTCTTGGGACGCCCCAGTCGGGATTGCTTGAAGATGAACTTAGGCGTCTGGTGTTGACCCGCATGTTTGGCGAGTATGTGAGGCGGAAGGCGTATTCCGCAGCCTTGTGCCGAGGCTATAATTTTTTTACAGGAGAAACCTGATCCAATCCTGGTACTCGGGCTTCTCTCGTAAGATATCTTACATAAATACCTACACCCAAGGTGACCATCGGGAAAAACCCTCTCTAGAGAGAACCTACATGGATGCCACAGAAGCTCTGCAGGAATGGCTGCCACATGTGCACGGTTTTGGGGTTTTGGGCTCCGCCTCGCCAAAATCAAGCTCCCTTTCTTTCTTTCTTTCTTTCTTTCGTTCAGGCTCCCTTCTCTGTCTTAGAATCTTGCCAAAAAAAAGGCCCAGACCCTCACCCTAAATCCTCAGGATCCTCGCGCTGCGTGCCTCGAAAGGTATCAAAATAGGTGAGGTGGGCATCGTAGAGGTGCCGGGCCAGTTCGCACGCAGGGCCTCGTCTGGCTGTGTGTTCATGGATGAGCAAGGGTTCTTTTGTGGTTATATAGATGTTTTATACGGATGTGCAGGGGCCTACAAGGTTTAGGGTACACCCTCTCCCAAACTAACACGGAAGCCCCCGAAAGGGCCAGACAAAAACTGCGGTTCTGCTGAAAGTGGCTATAGCGGGTTCTATGTTAGTTTTAGATTTAGATGTGGTAAGGCTGGGCTCTCTCAGAGACCCCCAGAACTTGAATATTGAGCTCTGCATGTCCCAGCATGCCAATGAACTTCTCAGGCACTCGAGCTGTTCCCAAGAGATTCCTGGTATGGCCCAAGGAAGCCCTGAACCCCAAAGCTCTTTGTCAGATTGTTGGACGCAGCTTATCATGCACGTGCCTAAAATCCGAAGCTCCAACCCCTAATACTGCTTCGCAAGCTGCGGGTGCCCTCGAAGACGAGCGTATAGTTGGGATCGTCGAAACGGATGTTGGTCAGGCCGCTAGCAGTCTGCACTCTTCCGGCAACCTGGCGCAGGATCTGGGGGTTCGGGATGCTGGCCGCGTCTTGCGGCTGTAGGCTGTGTTTTTGCGTTTTATCGGTCAGCCTCTAGTGTTACCCATCGAATTCTCAGAATTTTGGTGGGAAACGCTGTACATCTTGAACCCTAGCTAGAAGCCCTACATATCCCTTTCAAACCCTATGCTTGTTCACTTTAGATCTTTCTGCCCAGTGGCCGTCCCATTGCGACCCAAGGCCCAGCTCTTCCTTGCTGGGCTTGTTGTCCACTTAGAGCCCTTTACGAGGAACTTTGAAATCCACAGGTTCAGGGTCTCTGACTTGGGGTTGTCTCAAAATGGGGAGGAGGGGTTGCATACTCATTGAAGACCCTTTCACATATACGAGCATGAGTAAACACGTCCCCGTGAGGGACTGAACATGTTTTGACAAACTCCCACTTCAGCGCATTGGATGTAAGGAACCGGGGAGTTGCGGGTTACATCTTTTAGAATTTACGGGGTTGCGATCTAGGTATTTCATGGTTTAGCGGTTTAGGGTTCAATGATTCATGGGTTTCGGGTCAAGGGTTTAGCAGTTTGGGGGCCAAGTCAGTCTCCAGTAATCCAGAGCTTACAGGAACATTCAAAACAAAGCTTCGAAAAGTGCCGCTTGCTGTTGGGGCGGTTGTAGGCTTCATCTACATGCAACAGGAGCCCTAAAGCTAGAAACCCACACCCCTCGGCAAACACACATGCATACATGTCCATAGCTGATGCAAATTCACGCAACAAATTCAAGCCCAGACCAAGACAGGATTGAGGGCTGCACGGCAACGAGTACACGGACGCCCAACTCGGCCATAGGTACAAAGATTTCGCAAGATGAGGACTCCGTTACGGGCGGGTTCTGAACATCTTTTCTTGCAACAAGGCTCCTTCCCTTCTCCAGCGTCAGCCGGTGCTCCACCACTTCGGCAAGATCCCGAACGGCGTGGACGGCCTCCTGCAAAGCCACAAAAGCCCAACAGCTTCAAGCCTAAACCCCTGAACCAAACGCCTGAAACCTTCAATCCCCAAACGCCAAAACTCAAATCCCTAAACCCCAGAGGTTGGAACATTCCAGGAGTCTACATTCTTACGAACCTCAAGAACAAGCTTCGTGCACTTGGCAAAGCTGAAACAAGCGCAGCCACGCATGTTTGCAAGCAACATATGTGTCGTGCAGACATTTGAACAGAGGAACGTGGCCCAACATTCCCTATCGTGGTACATTATACAACACGTGCTGTCATTCGCAAACTTGCCTGCAAGCCCTATATAGGTCTGATGTTTTTTCCGGGCTGCTGCTGTGTGCAGTCCTCCTTCGGGCCGAGGACAAAAACGCGCTTCACGTCTGGATCCTGTGCCAGATGATCCACGCAAAATGATGTTGGTTCGGTGTCGTGCATAGCGTCAACGGTGGTGATTAGAGTTTTGTTGCAACATGAGCAGCTTTCAAATCTTCGTTCCCTACATCGGGATCCTCAGCACCCATCCACGTTGTAAATGACCTGATCCTATGCACTACCAAAATCCCTGCAAAAACCCTGGGTCACCGTGCACAAGTTGTAGACAAGCACCGCCTCTGCATCTTCCACCAAGATTCTGACGCCGTGCTCTTTCTGAAGGGCCTGACACAAGCGAGCACCACAATCGCCACGAAACTTGTGCTAGCATTAGCATAAAATGTTGAACAATATTTGCGAAAAGACAAATTGCTGATCCAATAACAAGTTCTGACTCGAAGCCCTAAACTGTACATCCTGAACCCTAGGCCCCTAAATCACCTTAAAACCCCCAAAATGCCCCAAGATGCCCCCAGACCCCAAACCCGACGCAGGCCAGGCCTGAATGTTGGCACCGCTTTTTCCGATGAAGCGTCCTACAGCCGACTGCCGCAGGGTAAACTCCTCTTTGAAGAAGCCTCCGCAAGAACAGGCTGGTTTAGGGTTTGGGGTGCAGGGTGTAGGCTTGGGGTCTAGGACCTGATTTAGGCTTTGGGTTTCAGGCTCTGCAAGGGGACTTCAATCTGAAATATGGCGCCCTCATGCCTTCGAAGGCTTCCAAAGGTACCCTTCACAATACGAAAAACTGACAGGCAGAAAGTTGCAGTCCCGGCGGCTCTACAAAGCAAGTCATACTTAGAATAGCAACAATGACCAGATGCCAGCCCAGCAGCAAAATCGGAGCCCGCATTCCCTGAAACCTTACCCCCGCACTCTGGACCAGAGGCAGAACACTGTTTGTCTAGACACGAGCTGAGCAACAGCACTGTCTGGCTAAACTTAGAAACAATAAGTCCTTATCTCTGATCTCTGAGCTGTCATAGCCACAATCTTAAGTCTCAATCTCCTGAACGCTAGAGGTTTAAGTCAAACAAAGGACGACCCGCGCCGCACTAACACCCCTATAGTTTCCCGATCCCAAGCAACCTTGAAGGTCGGAACGCCGCCATCCACCTACCCCAACACCTTCAAAGGTCGAAAAGAAACATGCATTCTCCTGCTTACAAGCCCTAACTTTTTAGCCTTTCCTGTAAATCCTAAGTCAAGCAGATCGATCACCAGCCTTCCACAGCTTTCCGGCGTGGGTCTGCTTCTCCAATCTTCTTTGCCTCTTAGATGCTAGGCTTGGAGGCCTTGTGGATTGGGGGGTTTAGGGCGTCGGGCGGCTTGGGGACTTAGGATTTAGGCTTAAGCTGCTAGGGAGTCTGGTCAGAATTTAGTTAGTTAGTGGTTTATAGCCTCGGGCTCAGGGTTGGGAGCCTTCGGCTTTGGGGTTTAGGTTTTGGGAGAACAACAATAAGTGACAGAACGGGCATTGCCCAGATGACGTGCGAAGAGTAGCATCTTACACACTTCATAGTTCCTCACAGGATCCCAATATGTTTAATGAGCTACAGTCAATGTGTCCTACATAATTCAATGGACATGTGTTCCTTGTCAAGGAGTGTAATTATCGGGGACTATATTAAACTACAAGAGGAACCCCATGTCCACTGCTTAGGGTCCCTAAATGTGGCTAATATTCACCGTATCTCATATAGCCTACGTGATCCTAGAACCGTAGAAACGTTTGCAGCGTATTGCGGAGCCCCAAATCTTAAGCAACCGATTATGGGGTACTTTCTGCACATGCATGGTAGTTGGAAAACCCAATGGCCCACGACGAATCCTTTCCCAAAGCATTACAAACCCAATATGACATTGGGTAGTGACGGGTAGTGCAACTACCGTATGGCCATTGCAACCATGTCTATGGTTGCCCAACCTGAATACTCATCCTTCATACTCGTCCAACTGCTTCCGCCACCACTGCTTCGCACTTTTGATAGTAGTACTGCTTTCAATCTTACCAGCCCCCAGGCTCCAGTTGCCTGAATGGTGTGTTCTCGGCCCCAAACAACAAAACCAAAAAAGGGCAACTCGGCAACAGTGCAGGCCGGTGGTGTTCAAAACTCCCTTCCTCCTCTACGCTCGTCTACCATCCTATGTCCGCCCCTTTTGCTGTGAATCCTGGCCTGCCGCTCAGCCAGCGCTTTGTTTCGCGTATGCTGCGCCTCCTCAAAACGCTTCGCCTCCCAACGACGTGAGAGCAGGCTAACGCAGCCACTGCCAGTAACAGGAATCGTAATCGCAGGAGCACGAGTAGGAGGAGTAAGAATAGGAGAAGTAGCAGCACCAGCGGGGCGTGAGGTAGTAATAGCAGCAGTAGTGGTAGCCATAGTCGCTGTGTAGTGGTCGTACTAGCGGTAGCAAGTCTAGAGGCTGTAGTAGCTGTAATTCTTGAAATTGTGGTAGTTGTATGTAGTGGTAGTGGTAAGCAGTAGTAATAATAGTAGCAGTTGTTGTTGTTACTGTTGTAGCAGGGCAGCCGCAGTAGTAGTATCATGGCAGCAGCAGCAGCAGCAGCAGCAGCAGCAGTTGTGGTAGCAAGTATGTGATTATTGAAAACATGGGTGCCTCTATTTTAGAATTCTGGAAAAAATGCTAGGATCTTCCTTTTCAAGATCACTTCACCTCCTCGTTATAGAATCCCTGTGCAACTCCAGTAGAACGCCCTGATATCCTGATACGACTCGAGGTTATCTGCGAAGTCAAGCGCTGTGGCCTTCTCTTGGTTCTGCAAGATGGAAGGTATCAGCATCTTGGCTCGTTGCACTGCCTGCAGTCCCAGCTGCGGTAAGAGGACAGGGATTGCCAGGAGAACCCTCGCCAACAATAAACATGAGAGTTAAAGTAGGAACAGCACAAAATCACCGGACTGAGGGTGACTACGAAACTGGTCCTGCACTTGGGACAGCTGAGAAGCAGACGAGTCAGACGAGCGAAGTCAGACGAGCGAAGTCGAACAAGCGGAAGCACGGAGAAAATCAGACGAGCTGACATCCACTCTGTGAGAAAGAACTTGGAGGAACCCACTGTACCATAGCATCATCAGGGGACCCGTAGCATGAAACAGATCTGACGATGACAGGAAGAACAACTAGAAACTTGTGCAAACGCTACCTGCCAAGAATGTTCTGTGCAAATGAAGGTGCAATATTGCCAAAGGCACTGTCCGCACAACAAGAACGTGTGCAGTAGAAAGTCAAGTGCAGTGCAGGAGATGACCAGCATGCATTGCTGCAGATCTCTGGAGATTCCTGTTCCCAGGTACTCCCGACAAAAATTGCAACCCTCTAAAGCATTGCTATCTTAGGAGGGCCTTCGAAACATCCAAATCCCGACTGCAGCAACCTCTTGAACAAAAATCTGACGACGCTCCACGCCAGAGCTGGATTTCGAGCCAAATTGCAACGACGCCCCACGCCAGCCAGGGACGAGAAAGCGCGACTGCGGGAGCACATTGTGCGTAATTTGACGGTGTTTCACACAGACGGCCCGGGAACCCCGCGAATCGTACACGCTAGCCTGAACGTTATCACCCGCTGGTTGTCTTTGGGGAATTATCTTCCCGTACAGACTCACCCAAATAAATGCCGACCCACACCCCACCCGGACCCCTAAAGAAGCACCATCAGTCCTAAACCCTCTAAACACGACACACCCCAAGGACAGAAAATCCATTTCAAGGCTCTACATCCTAAAAACTCAAATGCCTGAACCCGCAACCACAACCCGGGAACCCTTACACCAAAAGCCGACCTAAACCCTGAGTCCTAAAATGTCTCAAACCCATATTCTGTTCGTGAGGCGGCCTTCTTCGTACCAACAGCAATGACCTTCGCCTCCTTTTTGTTTGAGCCATGCACCTTGGCTTCAACCAGGATATGGACTATACAGGACTAATGGAAAAGAAAACAGAAACTACCACAGCACGATGCGGGGCCTTTGAGAAATTTGAGGTTTCCTGTAGACCCATTCCTGCGGGAGCTTAAACACTTCAGAATGGGGTTGTGAGGGAAGCAGATACACCGAAACGAAGACTGTCGGGAGGAAACAAGCTACTTCTGTTTGGGCTTCTGCGCTACATCCTACATACCCCTACGATATCGATACACCTATATGACTCGCATACACCCCTTCACAGGTTCGTGAATAATTCATCTCAAAGGCCCCCTGTCATAAAGTAGTCCAAGGCGTGAAAGCTATGGGGTTGTAGGATTTAGGGTTCAAGGTCTCACGGACGGCTGTGCGAAAGAAGACACAACACTTGTTGTCAATCATTTGGTGTCAGGACCGTGCAGCCATCAATTTGCAGTTGATCGTCTGAAAAACACGCCCTAGATTCTGGTTTAATACACAAACAGTGATCTTGACAAATGAATACTCCTCATCACTGCATGCATAGGCAGAATTTTGCAAATGCCTAACACACGTGCCCCTGCAAAACCCCAGAAAGAGTTCGCTCCTGACCACAAGGACCCTTATGGAGATCGTAATTTGGTAGCTTGGAGCAGCATTCACGCTTGGCGTCGTCCCCGTGCACCCGCTCTCATCTGACTGGTGTTTAGTAGGGGCATCCCTCCAGTAACCCAATATAATCCCCAGAATACTGTATGGATCCTTATAACTATATAGCAGCTTTTCCTTTGTTCTCTGCTTACAGGAGGTCAGTTATATAACCTAGATAAACAAACCCCGTTTCCGAAAATCCATGTGTACACCCATATATCCCTCTATACCCTCATATATCCCTGTATACCACCAGTAAACCATCCTGCATGCCAAGGGGCCTTCAGCAAGTCCGAAGGGGCGCAGCGTGCCTTGGAATGCATGGACAGGTTCTGACAGCTACGCAGCTCCTTCCACTACACTATACGAACGGGCATTTCTCAAAATGAGAGTCCCTTGTAACAAGCACCTGACATGGTATGACCCACAGTGGGCTCAGAATTTGAGAAATCAAAGGACCTGATGCTTGGTAAGGAATAAGGGAAGGGATACCAGGAGTAGTCCCTGTAAACCCTGCTTCAATCCCCTGCCAACCTCTACTTCCCACATCCCTCGAGTCTGAAGGTCTTCAGTCCCCAACCCTCAATCCATGCCCTAGGCACCAGGGACAAGAAACCTGAGGTTCGGGCATCTCCTGTCTGCAGACCCACAGCAAGGCATTCCACCTGGTAGACTTACTGGTGCCCTTGAAGGAGTGATGAGTGGATGTAAGTATCGTTATCGAGGATTCTATACGGATGCTTACAAGGATCCACTGCGCAACTCTCCCCCTAAGTACCGGTAAGGCAAAAATTGCATTGAGTAGCTTTGAAGCGGAATGGCCTTTGTGAGGACTACTGTGCAGGGATTACCTACATACAGACATTTCGGGGAGCCACGCAAAGGTTTTACAGGGACCATGTTGGGTCTGTATAGGGATTCTGCAGGAATGATAATGGGCCTATCTAGCGATTAGTAGGGGTTATCATGGGATGGGGATCTTAGGAAGGTAATATTAAATCCAATAAGAGACAAGAAAGACAAGGGCATACAAGACCAGATTGATCAAACAAGGCATTTGGGTCCAGGGCTTACGTATCATACAACGCACAACTTGTCGGAGAAAAAAAGTCGGTCTGCTGAGGTTGTATTCGGTATAGAACATACTACAAAGCGTAGGACCCTGCTCCTTCCTTCTGCTACTACTGTAAAAATCCTGCATGACCTTCCTGCCGCCTAGACTATCGGAATTCGCAGGGTGTAAGGTCTACTTAGGGCCTTGCAGGAGTTTTAGTGTCAACTGTGCTGTACATCTTGTCAGTCTTGGACCCCTGCACGTCGGAAAGCAATGGCTGCATGAGAAGAGTCCAGCCATCGCACATAGAGTGGATCGACCATCACCTGTGGCAGGATTGCAACGAAGCCAAATACAATTATTGCAGGAGTACAGGGATTTTGGCCTCCTCTTTCTGCAAGACGCCAGCCACCTTAGATGGAACAAGTCGCAAAAGCGGCTGCCGAAAGCCAGAGAGGCCTAAAGCCCCAGCCTCACACCCTGATCGCCAAACCTTGAACCTTAAGCACGACGCTTGAATCCCGAGGCCTTACTGCTTCAACCCACAACCTCTTAGACATCGCTGGTTCAGAGCTTCCCACATTCCCTTCCCGGCTGGAGCATGGCCGAAGCCGCGACCGAGGCATCAAAACCTCCCCCAGAACTGGCAAAGGGTGGTTCAAGTCTTTCAGGATAGTTACCTACTTGTAGTTGACCTAGTTTGATGACGGCAACAATGACAACAGCAATCTGGGAGTCACCAGATCCTGAATAATGAAATGAAGATATTCAGGCTCCAATAGGTCATCCTGAAGCAGATGAAGGGAGTGCAAAGGCTTCCGGCGCTCAACATGATGGATATCCTCGGGGCCGTGAAGGCAAAGAGGTGTTATGGGGGGAGCCGTCAGTGCAGAGGTGCGAACACCTTGGCGTGAAAGTTTCCCAAACTAGTATGGAACCCCATGAAGCCGCTACAAGAGCACAGCAGTCGTTATAGGCACCCTGACAGAAAAAAAAGACATGTCTACCCTCATCTTACTATGCCAGTACATTGGGTTCTCAGCCATTCTCCCTCTACAGCAGGGTGCCCCGGCTGCAACTAATAATACTCAGCATCACAAAAAGGCACCATTCCGTCAGACCATGAGCCCCAACCCCAAATCCTAAAGCGGTCTAACGGCCTCGCCCGAGGGACCCTGCCTCAGCAAACTTCCCAAAAGCCAAGGGCTTCAGGCTTGAGGTTGAGGGTCGAGGGTGGTGGGGTCTAGGATTTGGGGCTTGGGATAGAGGGCTTCAGGTCTGGGATGTTGGGTTTGGGGGTTGGGGCTTCGGGGTGCACGGGCTTGAGGTGGGGTTGAAGACGGGCTTTTGTGGAAGGCGGTTGTAAAGCATCCCAAATTTAAGTGCATTTGCTAGAAGGTCCCTAGAAGCCCTCAACCCAAACTGTTGAAACCAACCCCTGTTCATGGAATTAGTTGCGGCTAGGCAGGCATTGTATGAAACATGCGTATAGTTTCCCAAACTTAAGCCCTACACCCCTCAGCCCTAAACCATGAAAGGAACCCTTGTGGCCACCAGACCTTCAAAAGAACCCAGAAGGACCTTTAGCAAATATTGGGATGCCCAAGTCGCGATCTCGGAAAATGGAGCCAGCTCAAGGATTTACCCCTAAACCCTAAACCCTAAACCCTATAGTAACATCAAGAGCTCAGGGCTCAAGGTTCAGGGTTTGGGCGAAACACCGCAGAAAGATGACGAATAATCAGGGTGAGGGCAACTCTACCTGCTACATGAAAATGCCATGCATGCTGTTTGTAAGGGTGAATGGAGGGAATCTTGCACAAAGGCTGCAGCAACTTATAGGTATCCGCCGTCCACCCCAAAACCCCAGACCGTTAGCTCTAACCCGTAAGCCCCAGAGTCTGAATTAAATCAAAAAAGACATCCCAAGCCATGTAGAAGCAATAAGCCACTCTACCAAGCTTCTAGCTCCGGCCAGCGCAGTTGCCAGAGTGCATCGAAACCTGGTCCGAATAAGATTATGAGGGGTCCCCTTTAGGGAGTACAAGAGATGATGTTGAGAAACTACCAGTAGGCTTGAAGGGCTTGGGACGGTTCTGGTTCTGGGTTTGGGGTTCAGTTGTAGGGCTGAGGTGCAGAGTTGGGGTTTAAGATTTAGCGCGCAGGGTTAAGGTAGAGCAACTGGGATTTAGGGTTAAGGGCTCGGCTCTTGAGGGCTTTCTTTGGTGAGCATGGGAGCTTTGAGGAAGGCTGCCAAGAGGTGTTATGGGTCTCAGACAGACAGGAGGCATGCCCAAACACGATATTCTCTACTCGGATGGCGTATGGCATGTGGGCTGCATAGGCAAGAACACCATATGGTATTTCATAAACCCTCAATATGTGATCATCCCTCATATAAGGATCTCCAAAAGAGACCCCTGATGTTTGAAAGCCCCCATATGTCTGAGGGCATCCTGGGGGACTACCTTGGATATAGTTCAATGAAATGACATGGCTTAAACGGAATGCTTCAGAAAATGACCTCCGCACCTGTTGGCCTTCAAACACCGCACAACTGTGCGCGCAAGCTGATTCACAGCAGCGCCCTTACGCTATGATAAGCCGGGAGGTGCTTCTTAAAACAAGGTGGCCTTAGGGATCTAGTGAGAGGGGATTTTGGGGTCCAGAGACGCACGAAACCAGCAAAAGCCGAGGCGGGGCACGTGCTTGCACCTGTCAAACACACATGCACAAGCGTCCAAGCTGGAGGGTTGCGCCGCAATTATTGAGTTATCAGCACACTATTGCGGGTGCCATCTGTACGACATACACCATCGCAGACAGGATGGCAGTGCAGGGAGCTGCTGCAACACGTACATTACATATATGTATAAAACACACACACACACACTTATCGTCATGCAAGCTGCTGCGGGGTTTATCCAAACTTACCTACCGCTCCTGTCCTGCCGTCATTTGTACTAAGCTTGCACGTGCAAAGAAACGATTTCGGGAATTCCCAAGAGATCCCTCCAGGATGTTTCTTGTCCATGATCCCCCTCAAACCTTCGCATACAGTGAATGGTGCACCTGCGCCACAGCCCAGCCCCCAGGCGCTGTACCGGTTTCGAAGATCTGCAGGCAAGGCTGAGGAGTTAAGGTTCTGAAGGTCTGGGGGTTTTCAGGTCCGGATGGCTTAGAACTCATGGTTTTGACGGATTTCAGGTTTGCATGGTCTATAGTTTAAGTTCCCGAGGATTTAGTTTGAGGCTTAATTTCTGCGGATTAAGAGTGCAGCCTAACGGTGTCCCTTCGGAAGATGAAGTACGTATATGTATATGTGTGCATGCACTTGTCGTGCTTCTTTAAAACATGTGGGGATGTATCGTTTCTCACCAAATCTAGGGACACACGGGGATTTTCAGGAGCATTGCAAGGATTACATGGGAGCTCTCTCAGAGACCCATAATGGAAAAGACTTGAATCTGGAGTCTAGGGTTAAGTCATTTCGGGGCGACAAGGATACGTGCATGTAATCGTTCAGGAAGTATGGGTTCTGTGTGCACGGATGTCCTTCCACAAAACTCTTATGGAGAATGCGGAAATTAAGCAGGGATGTCAAGGGCAATTCTGTACGGATCATGTTAATCCTGACGCGGTGTCCTCAAAAGAGTTGGCTATCTTTGGGGCCGCTACTTCCCGCACACAAATCGTTAGCAAGCCCCTACTTCATCATCTTGCAGCTCAAGAAGAGCCCACAGCCGGAAGCCACAATTCACAGGGACTACTGTAATCGCCTGGTGCAGGGCTTTGGAGATTGTTTCATGCACGATTATGTAGATACATGGATTAGCAGCAAGTAGCGTTTCTAACTACTGGATTTAAGCTTCTTCATTATGCGCACAAACCATGAACCCCGGCGCCACACACAGAGCCACGCTTACGCTTATCAGGTTGCCTCGGAAAGAGTGACAACTCTTTTGAACACTCCTGAACCCTATATAGTGAACCCATCGCCGTGTCCACGTTTCATGACCCTGCAACATCCGCAAAACTCCTGAAGACATGAACCATAAGCCATGAATGCTGCCTCATATTCCACAATGTCACCAACGGCAGGGTCAAAGTCCTGCCGCAGAGGCGCGGACATGGAGTTACTCAGTAGGGGAACCCTTCGAGGTTAAAAGGATATCCAAGACGTGTGAAGAACGTTCAAAGAAACTGCCATTTTGGAAAACACCGGAATGCGGAGTTAATGAACAGTTCCTTGGGATTTCGAGTGAGTGGTAGTTTGGGTTTGGGTGATTGACTAAGGTAAGCAATTACGTTTTGCACGCCCGGACATGCCAAGAACATTTGACCTTCTCTCTATGGGCTAGACGGCCTACTATGCTGGTTGTGCGTTCCACTTGCAATCCGTGCTGCTCACCATGATTGCCAATGTTGCCATTACTTACCCCTTTCACTCAAAACTGCAGCATACCCGTTTCATGAGTAGTTGCTACATTCGAGAAGCCAAACATGAGTGTGTTCCTACTACCTTGCCAGACCTGAAACATCCTTAATCTAACACCACTGCTACTACCGTCGACCGGAGTAGATCGATGATGGGTATGAGATGGCGAGCCTTCGCTTTACTGAGACACTCGGGACAATTGGGATGTTGGACACTGACACGGACTTGAATGGGGGCTCCAGGGAGCCGAGGCCGGGGGGTAATTCTTGTGCTTCTGCTGATACCATCACCACCACGAATGTTGAACTGGCTGTAGTGAAGAGACCTTGAATATTGTGTTTTGGCCGCCGCTTTTTCAATTTCAGGTTGTTGGGAAGACCTTGAATGAATAATATGTGTTGATCTTGGGGCCCTAAAAATATGGGACCAAATCCAGACCATCGCTCTTAAAGTAATCCTCAAGGCTCCCGGGCCCTCAGTACTGTGGGAGCATTTTTTGAAGACGTCTACGTACTCTTTTTCCGGACCACCTATTGTTAGGGGGGAGGGGGGCCCCCAAGTTTAAACACGGTGCAAACTTACTCCTCTATTCCTCGTCCTATAACTACTTGCTCTGCTACCACTACTGCTACTACCACCATGACTATTCATGACGCTGGAGAAGCACGGCGATCCTCGGGTGCTTGCCTTGGGGCCGGCAGACGCACGTCCTTTGCCAGGGCCAACTCTTCCACTCTTGCCAAAAATTAGGCTACGGGTTCTACGGAGAATATTAGGTGGTTTATTTTGGGGTCTGAAAATTGTGCCCGCGCTTTTTTGCTGTTCAGGGCTTGGGTTCAAAAGCGAGCCAAGAATGATTATCCAAAGATCCTGGGGTTCATCTCAACGATTTCAGGTTTGATTGATTGATTGATTGATTGAAAGCAGCAGTGCTCTGCTTTTTCAGGCAGGGCCAAACCAGCCCACTACCGCCATGCTGGCAAGGATCCCATCGTACTGTACTGCACAGAACACTTCTGCACATCAGTTTATTTGTGATGAAACCGCCGGAATCCATGAAGATTATGGACAGCTGAAATTGGATGTCTAGGTTGTGAACAGCAAGGCTGAGGTACGCTTATGCGGTCGTTTTCCAGACGTATCCAGAGCACGTAGGGCCTATTCGGACAGAAAGATATTCTATAGAGATGAAGCAGGGTCCATGTGGAAGTTCTTGTAGGCCGCTTCAGCAGGGTTTGCAATGGAGTTCTATCGGGATGATGTAATAGCAGGAGTTCAAGGCTTCAACGTTTCGAATGGCTGAAGCTTCAGGGTTTCGAGTAGTTCCGAAATTGGCCTAATTAGTGATGGCGACAGCGTGTAAACAAGGAGAAGCACGGCAACGTAGTTGCATCAACACAACAGCAATTTCAAGTATTGGTACTGCTACTCCGCAATGTCGGAAACCTCCAGCAATCCTGCTGGCATTTGTTTCGGGTCCTTCGACATCCCTTACTACAATTCCCTTCGGGATCCTCCTACTTACATGTGTGCCAACATCATCAATAAACAAAAGAACAAGCGAACCAAAAGGACGCACGTGGCTGTGTCGCTTGCAGCTCCTGAAACTTGCAGAGAACATCGTCCCATGCGTGGTCCTGTCCAGATGAAAATCCTTTTGAGGGGGTAGAATCAGGGAACTCCAAGGTTGCAGGTAGTAGGTCTGATGAATGTTTTAATGACTCTCCCACCCCCCGAGTTCCCGGTGGACCAATCTCAAAACAAAGGTCTGAGAAAGGAGGGGACCTGAGAGCCGTCGCCGTAGTAGTTGTTGCTGTCGTCGTCATCGTAGGAGGAACAAGAGTAAGAGGAGTACGAGTAGGAGGAGGAGGAGCAGTGGCAGTAGATTTGGATTCGATTTCCATCGGGAGACATGATTAGCACGGATTTTTGCACCCCGGAATTTCATGTCTAGCATTTCCTTTTTTGAGTACAGCCACGTGGAACCCTAGGGTACTGATGGTTCATTTGGAAAAAGCATAATGGCAATTAAAACTAAGACAAATCCTGAATCTACGGAGTTTATCTGGCCCAGGGAACTTCATTATTGGCGCCCCTTTGTAAAGATGATAGGGTAAGTACCATGCTCAAACGATACTTTGTCAAGACGTTGTTCAGATGAGAGTTTGAGTCTTGAGGATTCAAGCCTAGGGCCGTCTCAACAAGATTGTAGGCCCTTACTCAGGCTCTATGGAGACCTATCTCAGCAAGCATGCCTTAACTAGGGCTGATTTATCCTTGGCTATCCCTTTTCTAGGAAGGCTCCGACTGCTGACAACGCTGCCACATTCAAAGCGCAGCGCGCGCAGGACAAATGCCATTGTTCACAAGAACATAATATCGAAACCTCGGTGCCGCAAAGCTTACGTCCGCATTGTCCATCAGAACTGCAGGAGATACATATGCACGAGCACATGCCCCTCTAGCATTCCCTTCTACATGTCCAAAAGAGATGCAGCATACCCCTAGACACCAGTCTACTTGTTCCAGCCTCTACACGGCAGACAAAAGGAATCTCCATACAGTCCTGTTGTGACATAGCGCAAACCCTTACAAACCCTGAAATCCTACACCAAAGCTCCTCGAAGCAGCACAGGACCTCAGCAGTCTGCACGGGGCCTACAAGAGCCTACAATAGCCGCGCAAGACACTCACATAGGAGATACAGGAGGAGCAGAGCGAATGGTAGCCGCAGTAATAATGGTGGTGGCACGTACACTAGTGACCGTCTTCCTTGCAGAAGTAGAAGCAACCTCTTTCTCAAGAGACCTCATTTATGACCTTTATACTTAATAATCAAGAATAAGGGTGGTACTACAAATAATGTTCATAATGATGGCATAATACTGATAGTAATACTAATACTGGATCATGGCCATGATAAGGATGACCAACGCTTCCACCTGTTTACGCGTAGGTATATATCCCCTGTATAGCTCTATATACCCTATATCCCATGACTTTCGTGACAAGCATCTTTCAGGTGATTAGCATGACGATCATAAGGTCCTTGAAGGAATCACCTGGCCATGGCCTTTGAAGACACATGTGTACACTGCTGGCAAGCGGCCCCCTGATCCGTGAGATCTCTGATGCCGGCATTGTACCTCAGAGATCTGGCGCAGCAGCATGCTGTTCTCTAATGCGTCAGATCAGCTCGAATAACCCTGTGCTGAAGCAGCTCAGCAAACTCTAGGTCTTGATCCGCCCCGGGCATGGTCTGCATCCTTGCGGGGGCTCCTCCAAAACAGGGATCCTGTGGGATTCTTGCACTTGATGCTTGCCAGGCTTAGCCGCGCACCAAATGAATGGCGACGATGAGCAGCGAACTTCCACATCTCCAAACATGACGCTACAAGCTTGTGTTGCCTGATGTTGCGAGCAGTGTTAGAACCCTCTATACCGCTGCACTGCACCCTTTGTCACAGGGTTCTAATTTCCATTTTGTAATCTTTTCATACTATGTACAGCCCGTACAGCACTGCCTGTTCTCCCTTTCAGTAAAAAGCGCTGCTGGCACCAGCTCATGGAAAAATTCTCCGTCTGGTCACATTTTGCACCACAAAAACAACAAGGTGCCGTGTTCTACAGGGTGCTGAGGAATAAGCGTGAATCGGCTCTCCAGAACTAATGAAGGAGACACAGCTGCGAGCAGTGCAATTCTGGCTGGGTTCACGAGTCGAGGCCAAGTATTTGCAGTTATCAGTATCAGACATCAACTTTGGGAAGAACCGCTATCATCTTGATTCAAGACCTCCTTCCGGGCATTAGCAACAGCTTCCACCTCATACTTCTCTACAGGTAGCCCAAACACGTTGGCGAGTGTATCTAACTGTTGTTGCAGGGGGTGTTCAATGTTAGGGGAAGCAGGAATCCAGATTCGTACCCTTCTGTTCATGAGCAGCACTCTTTTGTTGCTCCGACAGGCAAGGCAACGTCAGGGCGCTGACAATGCTTTGCGTAAATATTGAAAAATTGCCACGCCCTGCATCCAAGATGTGACGCAAGTCGAGCTGGCACAAGCTTCAAAGTGCCCTTTCTACGAACTACTTTGCCACCGAATAAAGGGCAACTCTACACTGGCACATCTTGCAGGTGCAGCGGTGGCACATCGCGTCTCCAAAGGCTCACCGAGAGAGCTGGGAGCACTTCGGGTCACTCAGAGTCCCTTGCTGACTTTGGGCCCGGACCCCTGGCCAAAACTGAGATTGGGGCTTTGAAGGGGTTATTTGGGCTATGCAGCTGTTAAGGCTTGGATTGGTCCCTTTCATTGGAGGTTTCATAATATGAAAGATATGTAATGTTTCGGGTACGTAAGGACCCCTGCTGTTGGAAATGCTCGGTTAGGAAATGAGGGACTCGATGCAGGAAATAGAGCTCCTTCTTTCCCTACGAGTTCCCAGGCACCAGCAAAAACTTCAAACGCGAATTCACCTGACAGTAGAGAATCAGAAGGCTATCTAACCTCCTGCGTCTCATGGCCTCGCAGGGCTAGAAGAAAATTGCTGCCCACACCAAGTAGCAGTCACTACAATCTTTCGCTACAACTGTGCTGCACACTTGATATCACTACGCACCTAAGACCTATCGGGGCAGAATCGACGCGAAATCCTTGAACAAAACCTAAACCCTAGAGCTTGCACGCTCAACCCTAAATCTCAAACCCTGCGCCCAGTCCTTCTTGATGCCCTTGCCGTCGCCCTCTTCCACTCCGAGGTCAAAGGCGTAGAGCTCCTGCTGGGGAACCCTAAACCCTAAGTAGTAGTTTCCATTTTCTTTTCTATTATCCCCATATATAACCCCCATATAACCCCTATATAACCCCTATATCCCTAAACCCTAAACCCTAAACCCTACATTATAGTAGTTTACATGTTCTTTTCCATTATCCCAATATAACCCCTATAGTAATAGTAATAATAATATAATAGTAATAGTAATAGTTTTAAGGTTCTAGCTTTGAGGTGAAAGGCTTCAGGCTTTAGGGGTTATTAATAGGGGTTATAATGCCCCAAAAATGGAGAATCAAAT